GTTTGTCGAAGCTGGCGAAGATCACCCAACTTCAAGATGACTGCGCAGCCTATTCAAACTTGAATGCTCGAGCAGGACTAGAGGTGTGATGTTCCTCATGGATAGGGCGGTGCTGATTCTTTCGGCCATACTGGTCAATATCAAAGAATTCACACCTAGTTCCAAGAATCCACGGTCGGGTTCTGTCATCGAGCGTGGAATCAATGCCCGAAAGAGCTCTTCAATCATATCACCGGCGCCAAGCGCCGATGATCCCGTAGATACTATCGTGTCGCTCGAGTCGCATGACCCAAACTTCCCTATCTCTACAGCACGTGCAAAAGCTCGAACATCTTCAGCCATGGACTGTCCGAGCGCGACCTGCCACACTAGTGAATCGGAGAGATCGCGGCAACACTCTGCTCCCATTTTTACCAGCATGGACATGCCGAGTTCGATAAATACAGTCAATCCATCTTCGACAGCAGCGCGAACAGCCGGGTAGAACAAGACTGGTAAAACGGCATGCGCCGGCGGCTCAGAAGCATGGTACGGCTGAAGGCGATGGTACAGCTCGGCCCTGGGGCGACCTGGGACCTCCTCCTCGCGTCCCTGGCGCTGGAGGTGATGTGACCTTCGCGGTGCCCCCCGCGGGCCGCCGCGGTGCCCGAGCACCGACCACACCAACCCGACGGCTTTGAGCCCCACGACCCAGCCCTTGCGACGAAACGATGCGGAGGTGACGACAATCGATCCATGACGTTGCGCAGCCTCGAAAACTGCTCGAGGGGGGTGCTGGAGCCGAGCGTGTCCAATCCCACTCCTTAGAACCGCCCGCCCGAGTCGCCACACAATCGCCTGGATGTCTTGTTTTCACCACTGCTTCGTCCGTGCGCGCGCGGCCCTCGAAGCGGCTGGGACCGTTGCGCAGCTCCTCATATTCGCGGAGCTGTGGGGCTCCGGACTTAAACACAGTAGGTCTAAAAATGGCTATATTTAACACACTATCGTTATTATTTAACACACTTACCTTAAAATCGCCTGAAACATAACTACATCAAACTATGACCACTAATACCATAGCACTATT